CATAAAGACTGAGACAAAGATACCTATTCCAGAGGGCTGTTGTGACAATGGAAGGTATGGAAAGTTCTAGACACTGGTTCTTCCATGTTTAGGGGGAGGAGAAAAGAGCAACAGCCACACTACTTAGGAATCCTGAGGTGAGGCCATGGCTCACTCAGACACTCTGGTGTCTCTATGCCGTAGTTCAGAAAAGCCATGGGTGGCTGTCCAGAGGACAGGAGGGGAGGGTAGCCGAGAGAATGAGCCAAAGTTGGTACTTTGGGCAGGTTGGACTGGGCCTGGGTGAGTTCACAGGCTGGGGAAGCAGATGAAAGGTCCACCTAAGTCCTTGGAGAGGCTACCTCAGAAGGCAGGAGAAGTAACTTGGTCACTTGTGAAAAGTCACACCCTCCTGGAGGAACTCAGGAGATGAACCTAGCAATGGCCTGAGAAGGGTCCCCAGAGAGGGAAAAATCCCAGAGAGCACAGGAGCCCAGTTCCTTTCCTCCTTAACAGGACCTGTTACTTGACCCAGGTCCAGCTGCTCACCACTCAAAAGCCAATATTCTTGAGAGAATGGTCGATCAGTTTTATTCAAGGGATGGCCCTAAGCAGATGGAGGGGCTATTGTGCTCAAAGCTCTGTCTTAGGAAACTCAGAGGCATAAAAGGATTTTATAGGTAGGGACAGAAGGAGCAGAGGGGCAATGGCAGGAAAAACTGTGTTAAGCCGGTCTTGGTCACCTGTGGCTTATGTCTCCTCTTTTTACATTTTCCCCCCCTCCCTACCTCTAGCTGGAACTTAGACCTCTTGGGACTTGCTCCTATAATTCTTTAGACAGACCTATTACTTTTCTGCAAACTAAAGCTCCCAGCAATTTACATACTTTGTGTTGGTTGATGCACAGAACTAATTAAGAGCTGTCACATATTCTGATGTAATCTGAAGATCAACCGGATGTTGAGTTCTGCAAATCTAAAGAAAGATTATTTAGCAGTTAACATCTTAACCATCTAAATGGTAGTTTGGGCAAAGGGTGGGGGGGTTGTCATCTGCCAAGGGCAGCTTGCAAAAGAGCAGCCACCGTTGCAAACCCAGATGCCCAAGAACAAAGTTTCTTCCTGACAGCATGAGGGCACCTCAGTGGCAAAGCAACCTTCTGTGAAAAGATCTCACAGGCGGAGGTTCTCCTAGAAGCCTGGATTCCACCTAAAAGTCTGACTTCAGGCAGCCTGCCCACCTGGCCAGAGTCCTGGGGCCACCAACAGACCAGTGCTGTCCAGGGACCCCAGGGAAGGCCTCCACTCACTAACCCCCAGCAACCACAAACCATGCTGAGGACCCCAGAATACATGGCCTGTGGCCCAGTGCTCCCAGCCAGCCTGGACACCAGGGCCTAAATGTAGGCGCAGCCTTGGTGGTGATAAGGATTTGTCACGAGGACTCCTCAGTCTGACCCCCCTTAGCCCAGCACCATGCATATTCCTCTTTTTCCCTGCACATGTGGCACCACTCGACTCCTTCCTTTTCTCTTGCTTGGTCATTCCCGATGCCACTCTATCCACAAGCATTTTACCCAAACAGATTAACGGCTCCTTCCACATCTTCAGCGCTCCTCTTTAGCAGTGGAGACGTGGTGGTGGCAACTCAAGCTGGATGGCTGGGGTGGGGCGGTCGCTCCCAGAAAGCTGGGCCTCACTCACTGGTACCCTGGGGTGACAGCAAGGTAGATCCAAGCCCTGCATCCCTCTAGCACTTTCTAGCAGAAGGAGCAGCTTGGTGCTAGCTTTTCCTGCCACTTACCCAGCTAAAGGACCCTGGAGAAGACAACCTCTTTGAACTGGTCTTTCCTTAAACATTAAAAAGGAAGGGGACATTTGGGACAACTATCAGAACCTGTAGGGTTACCGGGTGCTCCCCTACACTAGCGCCTGGGATTATCAGTCTTGATTTCTCCCTTCTCTTCCCTCTTTGGTCTCCTCTCTTCCTCCATCTCAACCCTGGCCATTCCCTCAGACTGAGGCAGACGGTTGTTTCCCTTAGGACTTGGCCTCCCCAAATCCACCCAGCCCAAGCTGCAGTAGGCACTTAGACCTCCCCCTCTACTGGCCTCCTCGAGACTGGCTTGCCCTTCCCCTAAATCGATAAGGGAAGCTCCTCACATCAGCTTCCTCCCCTATTCTTGTCCTTGGAGACAAGCAACAGGGTTGGCTCTGCCTCCCTGAGGGAGTTAAGAGAACTCTTTTTTTAGTGGGGGGTGCCACAGATTGAACCCAGGGGCACCTAACCACTGAGCCACATTCCCCATCCTTTCTGTATTTTGTTGAGATGGGGCCTCTCTAAATTGCTGAGACTGGCTCTGAACTTGCGACCCTCTTGCCTCAGCTTCCTGAATTGCTGAAATTACAGATATGTGCTACTGAGACAGCCAAGTTAAGAGAACTCTTATTATCATGTGAGCAGGATTCTATTCCTTCCAACAGGACTCGGACACCCTAAGAGAGAGCAAACCCTATCTCACTAAGTTGCTCAGGACCTCACCAGGTTGCTGAGGCTGGCTTTGAACTTGTGATCCTCCTGTTTCAGCCTCCCAGACTGCTGGGATTACAGGTGTACACCACTGTGCCTGGCTGTCTTCAGATTCTTTTTTGTTGTTGTTGTTCTGGGGATTGAGCCCAGGGGCACTTAACCACTGAGCCACATCCCTAGCCCTTTTTAAATATTTTGACACAGGATCTTGGTGAGTTGTTTAGGTCTTGCTAAACTGCTGAGGCTGAACTTGCAATCCTCCTGCCTCAGCCTCCCAAGTTGCTGGGGATGACAGGTGTGTGCCACCACACAAGGCTTGTCCTCAGAATCTTGACATACTTAAGCCATACTGCAGCAATTCACGAACCATTTCTTAAATTTGCCACAAAACCTCTCTCTATTAGTGAAATTTCTGGAACTAACACACTGTCCCATGAAGCCTTCTACCTTAAGACTTTTCCTGTCATCCATAGATAATGAGAACCAAGGCAGGTGCGGGATACAACACAAAAAGTGAGGAGTCAAGTTTCTCCTCTGCTCTGGACTGTGAGGAACTCGGGCCAACTTGGAAAGTAGGAAGGGTGGGTCAGTCCCTCAGGTACTGGGGAACTATTGAAAGTTTTTGAGGTGAGAAATGAGAGAACAGCACACATCTGTTGAACACTCATTATGCGCCAGGCCCTGCATTACGTGCATTACATGGATTGCTTTAATATCGCCACTGTTTTATTTCTGTACTTGAGGAACCTGTGCCTGGGGAAAGGTAAATAACATGTCTAATGAAACGCAGTCGGAGGCAGAACTGGGACTCCAACACAGGTCAAGTCCAAAGCCTCTCCTCCTGCCCTTCCCACAGGCGCGGTCTGTGATAAAGGGGATATTGGACTCACCACAAAGAGCTGTCAACCCTTCAAAGTAAAGTCACTTTACTGCCCAGTCACTTGGTGCTGGGGAGTACCCCAGGCATGACTCACAGGCCTCTCTGGGTTAGACTCTGACCCACAAGCAGTGCCAGCTGTCATTATAGGAAGTGCTATGCGTCTCCAGGCATTTTGGAAGTGCTCGTACGCCTGGCCCAGCAGACTTCATAAATCATGGTCCAGAAAGACAGCCCCTTTACACACTGAAAGTTTGGCATTACAAGAGTTTCTAGATCTATTGGAAGCATCCTGTGGTGTTGTGAGGTCCAGTTTTATCATCTTGTTAATGATCGTGGGCAAGAAGGAAGGGACAGCCCATCCCGCCTGCTCAGGAGGTGGAGACGGCTCTTCCGCACACACCACTCTGATGCTCCGGATCTAGTTTCTTCCAAACTCTGGGAACCACTCCTACAAAACATAGGAATCCCAGAACAGAGAGAGCAAGATGCTGCCCCTCACCTGCTACTTCATCATACCCCTCACTGGGAGGCATATGTTTACTGCATTTATAGAAATGCTCGGGGAATTTTCAGGAAGGGCATAAAGGTGTTATTTTGTTCCATAATATTCGATTTCCCCCTTTCCTATTCAATTCCTATGCAAAGAGAGCGTGGGGCAGGGATCAGGCAAAAATAACACCTAAGACTGATAAGGAAGCCATCCCTGGTACCCAAGGAATGAACAGTCCTATTCTCAGCCTGTGGCCACGCCAGCCTTGTAAGTTGATAAGGACCCAGCAGACAGGGCTGGGGAGCAGGGCAAAGCATCCAGCAAAGCCTTGCCAAATATGGACTTAGAAAAAGACGAGAGAAGCTGCTCTTTACCCTCTGCATGTTCTACGAATTTTAATGAATCATGGTGGGCTCCAACGAACCACAAATCACTCCTTGGTCTTAATCATCCCGACCCGCTTCTCAATTTGCACAGGTGGTGAGCTCCGAGCAGCATTGAAGTTGTGTGGGGAAAAGACACTGGTGTGCTGTGTGGTCTTGCTCAATAGGGAACATCCAGCTCCTGCCCTTCCCTGCACCTGGAAAATTCTTGCTGACAATTCCCTGGCCATGGTACGCTAGACACTTTGAGGAGGTGGGTGTGGTCTTGCTGCTGCAGAGGCCCTGGTGGTCCAGGAGGGTTGTCCCACTTTTCTCTTTTCCTTCTCATCAGCTCCCTCTCACCCTACCTTCCCCACCAAGATTAAGGGGAAGAAAAAAAAAACACCCATAAGTTCTACACCCTGCCCCTGCCTGGCAGGGTCTTCACAGCTCCAGGGGCACCATGCACTGATGGTCAAGGCAGACGTGCATATTTATGATACATTTCAGCAGATGACAATGGGTGTTTTGAGGGAATTTCTGGGAGAGACTTTTTTTTTTTTTTAAATTGTTTGTACAAAAGCATCATTTAGGTGGGGATGTAGCACGATCACAAAGACTTCGATTCACGGACCTTGAGCCTCGCAGGCCAATGCCAAGGGCAGAACTCTGGGTCCCCACATCACAGTTCCATGGGAAAAAGTGGTTGGTTAAGGGAGAAAGGAAGGAGACAGCCGATTACAGAAAATGTAAACAGCCATATGGTCAACATAATTTACTACAGGTCTCTGAAGTGTATATAAAATGTTTTAGTGCAACATCTTACAAATAGTTTTCCTTTAAAAAAACAAAAACAAAACAAAACAAAACAAAAAAATCAACAGCCCTCTACATCATGCATGGGTAGTTTTCTTACCCCATCTCTTTTTTTTTTTTCTTTTTCTTCAACAATGAACGCAGAGAAACCATTGTTTGAAAAGAATATGAAAACTTGCTACAGAAACACCCTGGTGAAAGAGGGTGTGGTTATATCCAGGTCCTGGGATGCGCCTAGCACAGTGTAGTTTTCCATAAATGCAACATTGTAGACGTAGGTAAGTGGAGAGAGTCCAGCAGGTTTCCTCTCTTGAACTCAGAAGACTTGAGCTCCAGTGGACAATGTGCAATGAAGTCTTGCAGCCACTAGAGGGCACCATTACCATTCATCTGATACCACATTCCCATAGAAATAGCCAAAGAAAGAAGGTCCTGGGTTGTTTTTTTTTTTTGTTTTGTTTTTTTTGTTTTTTTCATACAAAGCTCAAAAAGCTCAACCTTTGATGGAATCCCCTAGCCCAGTAGAAAATACACAGAAAAAGCAATTATTAAAATACTGGCTTCGGTTACTTTTTTCATTTCGATTTTCCTGCATTTGCTTCACATATTTAATTACGTGCAGCACCTACTTTTCTACTGCTATGAACCAATTCAAACTGAAATCTTAGTCCTGGCCAGCCCTCTGGCATCTTTCCATTCAGACAAAGGAAAAGTCAGTCATCTCCCCTTGTTGACTCAGCCTAAACATCAGGAGTCAGCAGTTTCCACGGAAAGCCCACACCCCCTGAAATGAAGAAACAGGGCAAAAGACATTCTTTCTTCATGACTGAGCCAATTCGGTACCTCTAACATGTTGATGCAGCATAATAAGTGGGAATCAGCATAGTAGGCATCCGTGGGATTAAGGTGGCAGTGCCTACACCCTGTCTCAGAGGACAGAGCTGGAGCATTGGGCAGAAAAAAGACAGGTCTGCCTTTCTCCGAAAATGGCGGAGCAGTCATCTTGCTCCCAGCCAGCGTCCACTTAACGGCCCACCCTGCCTGGGCACCTGCAGACCCCTGACCCGGATCCGTGCCCGTGTAGCCTGGGGAATCCCACAGCCTTCCCTGGAGTGGGTACATTCTCAGGACTGGGCTTCACAGGAATCTCTTTTGTTCGACTTAGTTCTGGAATCCGGGGTGGCTTCTTCCAAATGGGACTCCCTTCATAATTCAAGGTACAAGTTCCTAGGGAAAAGGACATGGCACACTTGGCCAGCAAAATATGGGGAAGCAGGGTATAAAGAGATCTTCACAGAGTGTGCACAGGGAAGTATCTGCAACTGATGATGCTCCAGTGGACCTAGGCAACTGGCCCAACATATAGTGACACTGGCCCTTGGAGCATTAAAATAAAAAACCACCATGCCAACCAAATAACCTAAAACCACCAAAAAATAAAAAATAAAAATCCAAAAAAGGGAGGGGGAAGGGCAAAGACAACACATGTGCTCACTGTCTGCTGAGACTAGGTGAACGAAAGGGTTACAAAGGGCCATGTCTGGATGTCCCCAAGGCTGGCAGTCTTCCAGAAGTGACATGGGGAGACAGAAATGGTGAATGAGGAAGACTTCAATATTTCATTGGAAGAACAAGAAAACCCTAGTCCTCACACCTCCAGGGAGGCAGATATTCCTCAAGGCCCTTCAGCATCAGGCCCTGGAAGCCCCCTCCCATCCTCCCTCACTGTGCTTGCAGGCCCAGGGCCCTCCATGGGGTATAGATGGCCGCTGCTTCAGCCTCTGTGCTGACCTCAGGATGGTCCTGCTTCTAGGATCACTGGAAACTTTCCCTCAAGTTTGGCAAAGCACCTGCCAACAAAAGCCACCTGTCACCATGATCAGCTGGAGCTGCCCATGCAGAATGGATCAAGCCAACAACCAGCTGTTTTTTCCTTCCTTCTCTCTAATCACTGGCTTTGATCAAGGGGAGAGTCAGTAGCTGCCAAAAGCAGCGCCCTGCTCCACTTCAGCTCAGAAACCATGTGCTGCTTGGAACTTCTGACCCATTCTCCAAGACAGTGTTCTTATTTTTTTTTTTTTTGGCAAGGATAGGATGAAGCCTTTTTGCCTCCCTGACAGATAGGCTGGCCGGGCACCATCTACTCCTAATGGGGTTGTGCAGGATTTCTCTTGCACATATGCAGTTCTTTGAAGCAAAATTCAATGCTTTCATCTTGACTACAAAGTGGTCCCAACAACTCCACATGAGGGAAAAGATAAGATACAAATTGGGCCCACGCTACCCATATTTTTCGAGTCTCGTTAAGAAAGTAAAAAAATGTTTGGGTTGTATTTTGATCCACGGGTGGCATTTTCAAATGTGCAAAAAAACAAAAAGTCTTGGAAGAGATTCCTTGTTACTACAAAGTGGTCCTTTCCTCTTGCCATCGGTTGTATGTAAGAGAAATTCGTCCACAACCTTATGGAATCCAAAAGGGATAAATCAAAGTGGTTTTAAAATAGTACAGTACAAAGAATAAGAACCCCCCACTCCCCGCGTAACATCTATCTGGGAATACTAGATAAATCGGTGAGTAGATGTGGCACCTGGAGCTACTCACTACATTACCAAAACCGAAAACTAGAAACCTATAACGGCAGGATCACGACATTTGGGTGCAAACAGCTAACCAACCAAGACCACCGCCTGGGGCAGTCCGTCTCGGTGACTGACCCGGAGCTCTGAACACGTTCCAAGGCTGACAGTTTTCTGCACCGGCACCCCCACGTTTGGGTGCTGTCGACTGTCCAATCACAGAGCAAGAGGCAGGAAGGGCGGGCCTCAGCCCCTCTGTGGCCAATGTCCCCTGCGGATCCCCCTTAGTCTATGGCTCCTGGGTGGATGCTCAGCACCGGGGGCTCCAGGCAGGTGGGGGAGTAGTTGAGGTGTGGCTCTTTGATCCACAACAGAGGCACCCCGTTCTTCCCCTCCGAGTTCTTGCTGGAGTTCCGGCTTTTGAAGCGTACCAGCAGGATGGTGATGACCAGGATGCCAAAGATGGGGAAAGGGTAGAAGAAGACGAAGTAGAAGAGCGCGTCGTTGGAGCAGATGAGCGACTGGAGGGTGGAACCTGAAAAGGACACGAGGGAGACAGACTGTGAGCACTGAGAGCCTGGAGCGTCCACCCTTGGCTCCGGAAGACCTCACCCAACCCAGCAGAAGCTACTGGGCAGCTCCCACACCCGCCTGCCTTTCCCCTGCTACCCCTCGGGTCTGCTCCCAAAGGAGAGAGCCCTTGTATCCTTTTCCTCATAACCACGCCTCTTCCAATCCACAGCTGCAATTTCAGATAACGCCAGGCTTCCACTTTCCATTGAGATCCATTACCTCGGCTTGGAAGGCCATATAATAAAATGGAGCTTATCGATTGCAAACAACGGCGTCTAGGTCGGTAAAGAAGCTGACTCCTGTGGGGTTCTATTTTAAATGTCCCCCTTGCACTCAGTCCTGCTAAACTTCCTTCTTAGAGAATTTAACAGGATCCTTTCCGGCCCGCTTCTGAGAAGAGTTGTACCAGAGAGGATGCCTGCTTGATTAACGTCAGCAATTAAAATGCCATTATGGACCATTCACAATGCCCAGTGTGTCTGGCTGCACAGACACAGTTACAGCTGGACGTGGAACAGCGAGAGCCCAGGCACACCCGCGCCCCAGCGGAGGGATTGCATTGGACCTTGGAGGGAGGTGGCCTCAGAAAATCTACGTTTTTTTCTCTGTAAAATCAGGGTGCCAGATCCCTTTGCTCTAGGAAGCCTCATAATCATAGATGTCCACAAAGGGAAGATGACAAGTAGCCTAAACATCTTCTCTTTTACGTCTGGACACTGGGTGATTCGGTGGACCATTCAGCAGGCTAAGCCCGATTTAGGTTTTTTCGGTTTCTCCTTCCATTGCACAGCTGCTGCTCATCAGTATGATTAAGAAACATTAACAAATATTTACACTTATTGGATTTCCAAAGTATATGAAACTGCTGATCGTCAACCACTTTTGACCTACAAAAAAAATCTCGATTTCATACGGTTCTATTTAATGCAGCGCTTACAGGAGGTGACTGAGGCAAAGAAAGAGCTGACAAAACTCAAAACCTCAAATCAAGATTATGGGGTAAAATGTTTTGATTGAAAAGAAGTTGAAAATCCGAGCCAATTTTTTTTATTTCTGCAGGATAGGCTGATTCTACAATAGCAAACACTATTTTCAGTCTGATACGTTCCACGTTTTGACAGAAGGCCAATCAAAAGGGTGCCTTGTTAGAACAAATAAGTCAGGCCCTCAAGAATTTTCCGAAATCTTTGTTGAGAGTGAAAGTCCCTCTGCATGAGGAAAATTTCATTCTGGAACATTCTGCAGCAACAGGCTGCGGCTTTGCTTCTCCTGACTCTCCTGTAACATCACTGCCTTAGGAGGCTTTCCTTTCCTACTAACCACGCAGAAATCCACCTAAACCTCCAAGTCATCCTCTGAAATAAAACTGACCCAGAAAAAGTATGATTGACAGTGAGGAAGTCAGGCTTCCTTCTTTCCCCTTTCTCTTAATGAGCCTGAAACACTTGCTATTTCACTAAAGAGAGACTGGGTTCAGTATTCCAAAGTGAAACAAAGTAATATCTTAGCAATATACATGCCCAATGAAATCTTCCTAAAATAGACTCTGGTGGAGCATTAAGTCTACTATAAAGATTAGATGGCATATTATCACTTTAATTCTGATCCCCCCACTTTTTTTTGCACGGGCAATCGAGGGTCAACTGCATGGACAGTTACATGTCCAATCCTGCCATATCTCCAACCCTGATACCTACCCACGACAGTTAGGAAAGCTGCTTCTTAACCCATAATAGAGCTCTGTATGTATCTCCAAGACAGTTGGAACCAACAGCCCCCATCCTTCCTCTGTAACTGGGGAAACTCACTGGTGTCCAGAACGCGAATGCCAATGGGGGCGGACTCCTCCTCTGTCAGCCGGTACCACTCCTTCTGAGGGCTGGGCAGCCACTCCTCCACATGACAGGAGTAGTTGCCCGTGTCGTGGGGGCTGGCCTGCAGCACCGTGAGCCGGTAAAGCAGGGGCGAGAGCCTCTGGAAGCGAAGCCGGCCCTCCCAAGGGCTGCCCTCTGGGCCAAAGACAGCGTCGGGGCCCACCCGCAGCAGCACCTTGCGTTCTGTTGGTTCGTCCTCCTCCTCCCCTTCCTCCTCCTCCTCCTCTTCCTCCTCCTCCTCTGTTTTCTCCTCTAGTTCTTCCAGACCAGGGCTGCCCCTTTTCCCTCCTGCTTTAGTCCTCAGGGAATACCAGGCCACAGCAAAGCGGGAGTCCTGGCTCGAACGAGACACGATGCTACAGTCCAGCTGAAAAGCCGCCTTCTCGGACACCGTGGCGTTGGGGACCACTGTGTCCACCTGCAGGGCGGCATCTGTGGAGGGACAGGGGACAAAGAAGGAAGAAGAGGCTGATTTATTTGCTGGAAACAAATTAAATGTCCACTGCTAACCACATTATACTGTAGAAATACCCACACCGAGTACTGTGCACCCATTAGAAGGACATATTGGCAGAGCTATGTACAGAGATGTGGAAGGAGAGTCGAGGAAAACGGCTGGAGTACAGGACGCTGTATGCTCTATACATCATCATAGGCAGAAAAATATCCCCTTCTGACATACACCTCTGTTTATATTTGCAGAATTAAGAAGCTGGTAAAGAGGCTGTCTGTGGGAATCCAGAGAGGAAGGGCCACTTATTTTCACTGTGACCCCTTGTAGTGATTGAACAATGTCTCCTCAGAATCCATGTCCACTTAGAATCTCAGAATGTGACCTTACTTGAAAAGAGAGTCTTTGCAGATGTAATTAGCTAGGTAAGGGCATGCTGGACTAGGGTGGGCACAAAATCCGGGGACTGGTCTTATGGACTCAACTGTGATCCCATTCCCTGCCAGATTCATCTGTTGAAGTTCTAACCCTCAACGTGACTATTGGGAGACAGGGCTTTTAGGAGATAATTACGGTTAAAAGAGGTCATAAGGGTAGCGCTCTAATAAGATGGGTGGCCTTATCACAGAAAGAGATCTTACAGTAAGAGAAAGAGATCTCTTTCCAGGTATAGGCATGTGAGGCCCCATGAGCACACAGTAAGAGGGCAGCCATCTATCATCTGCCAGCCAGGAAGGGGAGCCCTCACCAGAATACGAGCAGGCTGCACCTCAACCTCAGACTCCAGCCTCCAGAACCGCGAGACATACGTTTCTGTTGTCTAAGCCACCAGTCTATGGTATTATGTTATGACAATGTAGCAGAGCAAGATCCCCAACTGGTGTCCTAGACAGAACAGGAGAGGACACAGAGACGAAGGCTGTAAGACCATGGAGGAACAGACTGGAGGGACACACATCTACGCTATGACCCAGGAATGCCTGGGGCCACCAGAAGCCAGAAGGGGCAAGGGCATCTTCTCCCCTAGAAACCAGGGAGCATGGCTATGAGGACGACCCTGCTTCTACAACTGTGAGAGAATAAATTTCTTTTGTTTTATGCAAAAGAAACCCTAGGAGACTAATATATCCACTTAGAAACTCTTGAATTTAAATTGTGCATGGAGCTTACTGATAAAGCCACAGTGACCCCAAGGAGATAAACATCCTGCCCAAGGACTGAAGCCCAATACTAGACCTCCGGCCTGCAAAGGCCCCTCCTCCTGGGCACCGGCTCACAGAGGACATGCATGGGGAATGCCCTCCCAGGTCAGGTGGAGACACAGAATCACCACGGAGGTGCCCAGGCTGGTGAACCAGGCCTTGGACACCACTGGTCAGTCTCTCATCTGGGTGTTTTGTTGACTTTTTCCTTTTGACTAGCTGTGGTAGGTTCTGAACAAATGATTCATTTCCCAGCTTCTAAAAGACCTCCCTTTGGCTCTGTTTATGAAACGTTCATGAAAAATGTTGACGTAACATCGGCAGACGTCGACACACCACATCAGGTTGTACTCGGATAGAGACCAAAAGGAGTGCTTCCCAAAGACTGTCCTGGGCTGTCAATGAATTGGCTCAATGTCACTTGCAGGTGAACACGAAGCTGGGCTTCTGACTGCTTCTGTGGGGCTCTGCCAGGCCCCTCCACATCTTCCGGGCCCATCTGGAATCTCAGTGTGCACTGTGAGCCCACAAAGGTTTCGTAAATGGCTACAGGTGGTGGGCACAGCGCATCAGCCCCAATCTTAGGGAGGAGAATGTGCTCAAGAACAGACACCGTCAGGGTGGAGAATATCAGTCCACAGGTGACTCAAACTCACACGACTCAGCAGCCTCTTTCCAAAGAGGACAGTGAAAATGTAATCTCGGAGCCATTAGAAAGCTCCCCCCAGACCAAGGGTACCTCTGGAGCTTCTTAACCTCCAGCATCCGACACGGCATTCCGAAGCTCCAGGCAACTGTATGGTGTCAAAGGAGTGGTGACGTGTGATAGAGTCCAGCACGGCCAGGTGGCCAGGTGGAAAGAGACCATCAGGCATTTCGTTTCCTCGGGTCCTCTTCCCCATTCACCCTCCCTCTGCTCTCTTCTCTTCTGCGTGATCCTTTTGAATACCTTGTGTGCGTTCATGACTCCACACAAGTTTCTGGAATGAAGTTAACTTTGACTTTTCCACAATCTCCTTCCCCTTAACATGCTTCTTTATAGGTTTGGATCCCTGTGTCTGTCCCCTTCTGAATTAGGCCAACCCTTCCCCCCTCATGCTGACTTCCACACGTTCCCAAGGATAAGACCCAAGAGAGCAATTCATCTCAGCTTGTCCCCTCCATCTCAAGCCCACTGCTCCCCAGCTGTCACCTTGACCTCCACCTCTGGCCTGTGTGTGTGATGAACGTGGTTTTCCCTCCTCCCTGGTTCTGCACGTCAAGCACAGCATCTGACCCTCTCCAACAACCACCTCGCTGAGGGCAGGAGCCATCATAGATCCATCATAGATCATAGATCACCTCATAGATCCCATGCATGGAGGATGGCAGGCTCTAGTCCCCCCAAAACCACTGTGAGCACAGCTCTCAGAGAGCTATTTATTTTGAGCCTTCCAGATGCTCAACATACAGCTCAAAACAAGCCTTCAAAGTACATCCTCACGATGAACGCTGCACAGCAGCAAAACCAGTGGCTAGGAAATGCTTTCTAGAACATGCTCACCCAAGAATGTTGAGAGGGTAGGGAAAAACACTTCTTAAGACAGTGGGACCTTGATGTCCTTCAGAGCCAAGAGTCAGTGAGGATAGGAAGACACAAGACCAAAACCCACCCACCAACCCCCCAAAACAAAAATACGCCAAATTATTAACAGGAGGTATTCACAGGTAGTGAGGTTACAAGTGGCTTTTCAACATTGTTCTGTTTTCAGTGTGTTTTGCAATTAGCATGACTTACACAATCAGGGACAGCCAGGGGGAAGGAAGGAAGGTGGGTCGAGGCGAGGCCATTTGCAGGGTCACAGGGTCACAGGTCACAGGGTCATAAGGGCTGTGCTGGTAGCACACAATGCGGTGGAGGGAGGCAGGTGGGCACCCCTTCTGCTCTTCCTGGATGTGCTGCAATTCCTTTCTGCCAGGTCAGTAAAATCTACGTGGCAGGGTTGTTAGGAGGACTGAAGGCAAACTTCCTGACTGTGGCAGGGTGCAGATCGTACTCAAGGAACGCCTGTCTCCTCCAGTCCACGCAGGGGCGTGAGTATGGCGATCTGCAAAATGGGTGGGAGCTGGGGGAGAAGGGCGTTCCGCTGCCACACTCTACAGTCTTCCCGTCAGGAAAGACTAGTCTCTAGATGAGGTCGAATGCAGAAAACTACATTAAAAAAACAAAACAACTCCAAGGAAATGTAACTCAAGTAGAAGTGATTTCCCCTCCAACTTCGGGAAGACACAGGCAAGTGAGAAAATGTCCCTGTCCTGTAACAAAGGCACTTCGCCTCCCTGAAGCATGTTCTATGATGAAGGGGCACAGCGGACTCGGGAGGCTCCTATGTGCCACCAAGGGAAAGAGCAGCTCCGACGGACACGAAAACCTGACCAAGACTTCCAACGGGGCCAAACCACAAATGTGAACAGCAGAGTGCCCAGAGGATACAAGCTGCTCACACTGACGGAGGTGAGTTAATTTCTGCTCCATTTCCTCCTGGGAACCGCTGACTTTTTGCCCTGATGCGGATGAATGACGGTGCAATGTTGGGAAATACACAGGGAATCTGCACAACTCAGCTTTGATTGTGTGACAATCAAGTGTGTGACAATTATCACACCCAATAATTATAAGTATTCAGGTGTTTCAGAAACAGCAACAGAGGCAGGAAAAGCCAAAGGTCACACGGACTAGTCATTAGAACCAACAGAATTACTAGGATGCGAGAGTGGAGGCTGCAGGTGGTCAGAGATTTCTATTTAAAGAATCGATTCCTTTCCACTGAAAATCGACCAGCTTAACTTTTTGAACCACCCGGCTGTCGTTTCAAAATTCTTTCGTGATCTCAACCACGTGTCCAGATCTGAATGCACGTTTTTTTGATTCCATACCCTGCAATAAGGAATTGCCATTTCATTCTCATTAAGAAATCAAATCACCTTAGGCCAAATGCCGATGTGCAATTCTCCACTCACAAGGAAACAAAACCCTGAGACAATTTTGAAAACGAACGTATAATGTAAACGTGCATATACTTCACTGGATGTAATTTGATAATAAACTAATCTTATTCATCGTATGAAATATTATACCTAAAGGGGACACTTCAAAGGGAGTGGAGGTTGGGGACATCGCCCTCACCTGGTCTCATGACCGTAACTGCAGTCTGTCCGGCAGTGTCCTCGGCCCTCTTGTACCACAGGCCGCTGGGGCTGGGCAGCCACTCCTCCACGCGGCAGCTGTAGGTCCCGCTGTCCTGCACCGCCACGTTCTGGATGAAGAGTCGGTACACACCAGGGGAAGGGCTCTCCAGGTGCAGCCGTCCCTGCAGGTTGTTTTTGGCTGCCTGCTCTCCATAGTGGAAGGTGGCCTCGCGGCTCAGGCGGGCCACGGTCTCCCGCTCCGGGTGATTGGGCTTCCACACAAACCACTCCACCACCAGCTGCGAGGTCACGCTGGTGCGGTTCAGGACTACGCACTCCAGCTGCACCTGCCGGGTCTCCAGAACCGACAGATTCCCGTGGGCTTGGCTGAGCCTCAGGCGGCTGTCTGGATCAGAGAGGAAAGAGATGTCACCACACAGGCACCCTCTCCAAGGAGAGGTGAACGGGTGCCCTCCAAGTACAGGACAGCAGCTCAGGCTGACTCGGCAGACACCGTTCTCAGACAAACACTGAGCTTCTGGATCATGTGAACAGAGGACCTGAATTTCCAGTTCCCCAGTGTTCTAGAAGCAACTGCCCCAGTACATCACCCTCGTGGGTTCAGAGGCTTGCAGGAGGGCAACACAAGGTGCAGGAGACTACACATCCACAGGACGACAGATCACAAAGGGTGCAGCTGCCTGATGGGGTGGCCGGGAAGGGGAAGGCAAGGGCACGGGGAGAACCCCTCTTGCACAAGAGTCAACCTCGGAAACTGACCAGATGATGGCTAGACAAGGCTTGGTGTCAATCATAAAAGACTGCAGAGGACACCCAGTATAATAAGCTCACGTGCTCCCTCATAATCGCCTCCCTCTCAAGGTGGGAAGAGAACGGATCTGACATCAGTAAAGAAAAGATTGATAGTGATGGGACCCGATGGTTTGAAAGCTCACTAACGAGATGCTCCTCCGGTGAAAAAGTATCATTAACAATGGCACACACTGATAGCAGGCCTGTAATTTCATAAAGGGCCCTAATGAGCCTCCCTGGACCAGAGGGATCTAAAAGCTACAGCACTGTAAACACACAGAGGCACCTGGGGAGCAACCCCCGGGTGACGGGAGGGGACGGGAAGGGGGCCTCGCCCTGGGACTCAGTACGTCACACTTCAGTGTGGCCTGAATGTTTTACAGTGCTCAGGATTGCTGTTTTAATTTAAAAGTTTAAAAAAAACAAAAAACGAACATACACTTGAAATAGCCAGCTTCCCAAAACATACATGTAAGAAGTTACCTCTGGTTATCTTTGGGTTGCAAGATTATTATTTTTTTCATTGTGGGATTTTGTTTGTTTACTTTGTATTTCCCAAAAGCTCTGTAAGTATGTACTTTCTAAACAGGGAAAAAAAAAAAAAAGAAATAGAAATGAACCCCAAATCTCAATTGATATAAGGGGGGAAGCTGCTTTAATGTGTGTCCTGTGAGATTTCTGCTTACAGATTTGAAACTCCCTGTGACAGAGATGTCACTAAACGTGTGGACAGGGATCCATGCTGTCCTTTGGCACTGCCCTGCTTAGCTTGACGGCAGCCTCAGCTGGGGGTATTCCCTTGATAAATCTCGGAGGCACCAAGGGTCTCTTGGTTTCAGAATAAATGAGGATAAGGGAAAGGACATGGTGGCTGGAGTGGAAGGGCAGGGGACAGGGGTGACATTCTCCCAGCTGAGAAAGTACAGAGAAAGGGAGTGGCGAGGATAGGAACCCAGAGCGCATTGGTGGCCCAAGAACCTGTAGTCGGGACGCAGGTCACCAGAGCCGCTGAAGAGCAGGGCTTCCAGGTAGCGCATCAGCACAAGGCTAGCAGAGGACGCACCACGGCCAGGGGGAAGGTGGGCAACAGTCCCACTGTACTCAGCACAGGCTGGGCCACATGGGGACCAGGGCAGCTGGGCCCCCTGGCTTTTACTCCACAAATACGCACTGAGGCCTCCTGGGAGTCAAGCCAGGTGAAGAAAACCAAGTCCCTGGGCTCATTCAGGGAGCTTCAACAAATATATATATATATATGTGTATGTGAATACACACAACAAATGTATATGTGTGTTTGTGAATATGTAAATAATGATTAAGTAATACACAGTAGCTGGAATGAGTGAATATAAGCACAAACATGAGTAAGTGCTTCATAATTACTTACCTGAGAATAAGTAAGCGAGTGGAATGCCAGGTGCTGATATGTACTATAAAGGGAATGGGAAAGACTTCTAGGGTGCTCTGTAACTTAAAATAAGCCAGCAACACCTTGCAGAGGAAGGGTGGAACAGCAAGTACCTATGGCCAACTTCTTTCTAGGCTGAGAGCAGCACATCCAAAGCCCTGTGGTGTTCAAGGATTAAATCAACCATTTGTTCCTGATTCAACCAGTATTCACTAAGGATGCCATGCTGGTGGCTAAAGATATAACAAGAGCCCTTCCTTAATATGTATATTATAGTACAGAAGAAATGCAGATGATTATTATACCATGTGTTAAGGCACTCTTAGCAATACAGGAGAAATCAGAGTAGACTTCGTGGAGGAGGTGCTGAGGGAACGGCCTCAGCAAAGGCCCTTCAGAAGGCACGGAGTGACAACAGACTGTGGGATGTGTGGGAAGGAGGGATGGAGAGGGCACCAGGGCCACACCAGGAGCAGGGAGTTGAAGGGGCTCCTTAACCAAGAGAAGGGAGACAGCAAGGTGCAGCCTTCCTGCAGAAGGAGATGACCCTGGCTTACCCTGGGTTGTTCCAGGGACAGATCTACAACCTGAGAGGGAGACGACAGGGACGCAGTCTTTTTAACCATCGAGGCTGCCCCAAAGTGGAGCCCAGGCTTGCCAAGGCAGGCAGCCCCCTCTCCTGGGCAGGCTAAGGGCTCCACCCTGGGGCTGAGAGGGGAACGAGGGCTGAGACGGCAAGGTCCTGCCTGGGCTGAGATGGGAGGTCAGGAAGAAGGGGAGGCAGCTGAGGAGGCCCAGGGAACGCTTCAAGGCAGGAACTGGGCGGGTGGAGCCCTTGCTAGCCCAAGGCAAATGCAGTCTGCCCTAGAAACTGCAGCCGCGTTCTACGGACCCAGCCACCCCTCAGCACCCCTGGTGAAGATGGCACCTGCAGGAGCAGAGCTGAGGATTCTCTGTGGGTCTGCACCAAAAACAGGACCCACTGAGCAGAGCAGAAGGACTTCCGGGCACCAGCATGATGCTCTGTGTAGCAGTGCCCACTCTGGACAACCTCTCCCCAGGGCCCCGCAGAGCCCTGGCTGGCCCCAGGCAGCCTGTGCTGGAAACCCACAGGCCCAGGAAGGTCACACCGTCCGCCCTCACCTGGCTGCTTCACGGTGACTTCTGTGCGTCCCGAAACCTCCTCGGCCAGCTTGTACCAGGCGTAGTTGGGGCTCAGCAGCCACTCCTCGACGTGGCAATAGTAGCTGCCGCTGTCACGGACCTCCGCTCTCTGGACAGTGAGGCTGAACAGGCCCCCAGACACGTGCCTCTCGAACTGCAGCCGGGCTCTCAGGCCCTCCTCCTCAGCATAGGTGCCGTACTCAAAGGCGGAGCTGTGGGTGGTCTTGAGGATGAGCTTGCCGTCGGCGTCGGAGGGCTTGTGGACGTACCAGAGCACGGCGAAGTGCGAGTTCTGGCTGGTCTGAGACTTGACTGAGCAGTTCAGCTGAATGGGCCTGTTCTCCACCAGGGTGAGGGTTCTCTTGGATTTGCTCACCTGCAGCTTTGTCACTGTGAAGGAGAGGGAGCAGTTCAGGAAAACCGCCACACCCCCTCCTGGAAACGTGGCCCACTCTAAACCTCAGGCTCGGGGCCTGCCTCTGTCCAGCACTGCTCCTAGCAGACACGAACAGGCTTCTTCCAAGACGTGGCTCAGTATGAGGACACCCCGCCATCCACTTCTCCTTGCCACACTCCTAATAAGTAGGAGGAAAAAAAAGAACCCAACAAGAGGCAGGTCCCCTGAACTAGACATTCACCACCTCTCCCGGCCCCGCTGTCTCCCCTGCCCTCCAGGACCCTGTAGCTAAAACACAAACCTGACCCCATCCTGCCTCTCGTGATGAAGTTTAAAGGCTCCCAGTTGCCTAGAGGCTCTAAAGAAAACCACTCCTTTTCCCAGCGCAAAGCCTCTTCGAGACCTGGCCTCTGTCCAGCTGTCCTGACTCATCTCCACAACTTGGCCCCAAACACCCTCCAGGGTCCCATGCAGCTTCCCCCTGAGCTCTGGCCTCTGTCCTCTCTGCCTAGCTCCTCAGCCACCTCCCCACCCTGACCCTTCTCCACTCATCTTCTGGCCCTCCTTCCTCCTTCCTGGCCCTCCACCTGGTCAGGTGCCCTTGCTCAGCCCTCTATAAAGACCCCAGGCTGTTTTTCCTTTTGTCTTTCTTTGATCCTAGACTGTGAGCATCTGAGGGGACTGACTGAGTCTTTTTTCACTCAACCAGCCGATATTTCTGAGCACCTACCGTTTCCCACAGGCTGCCAAGTCCTGGGGACGCCCTGAAGTACAAGACAGAGTCCCAGCCCCATAGAGTTCTGCTAGTGGACGTCCTCATGGCCACAGCCCAGGGCCTAGCACAATGTCCAGCCTTCAGAGAGCACTCAGAGTGTTCGCCCACTCAGGTGGGAGAGAGAACGAGCGCGTTCTGGGGAACCGAGGCAGCACACGATGCCAATGTGCTGCAGGGACCTTCGTGGGGCGAGGTGACGGGAGAAGGCTGGGAAGATGACAGCAGCAAGGGAGAGCAGAGCTGACTCCGGTGTCCCCTTCCCCTGTTCCAAAAACAGCAGGAAGGCCAGACTCCAGAGTGCCACCCCAGCTGCGAATGAACGACCATGTTCACCTTTTCGGTGGCCCGAAGCCAACGTCTAACCAAATATATCTTATGAAAGTAATGTGAGCTCTCGCCCACTCCATCGTGATTACACTTGGCTCTGATTCCTCCTACCCACCTTCCTCCTCCCTACTGAGAAGAAACAATCCTAAGTCTGTCTTAGGGAACTGGGAGTAAGAGCCGCATTCTACCCCACTCCTCTCTTTACACTTCTTTCTGCTTTGAGTTTTGGCCACTTGCCAGATGAGAGAAAAACCCGGGGCAAGGTACAGACCCCACACAGGGCAAGTAGCTAGGGCTTCCTCCAACTGGGCTGCTTAGCCGGGAGGGAAGGAGCAGGGCACATCTGCCCTGGCCGGTCTCCAGTACTTTGCTGGGCAGCCTCTTGTTTCTTAAGGCCAGAGTCCCGCTGCAGGAGCAGCAAGCACAACCAGACACGGGACTGAGCGGGCGGGACCCCGGGGTCCTCTGCCAGCCCCAGTCAGCTCTAAGTATGCAAAGACAGTGGCAAGGATTGAGTGCCTTGTGTAAAGGAATCAAAGGCCTCAGGTGGCCACTTGGTCCCCTGGTACCACACAGGCAAGGTCCTGAATGGGTGGAAAGTTAACAAGCCAAGGTGTGGCAGTACCCCAACCCCAGCACCATCACTACAACAGCATCTCTGAGGACACGACTCCTGGTGCTAAGTCAGACTTTCTCTTTATGCCAAGAGGTGGGATTCACACCCAGAACACAGCAACTTGAGAGAAATCCCTCGACCCGGGGCCCCACCTTCTGGTTTCATCATTTTTGCTGACAAGTCCAGTCTTCGGCCTTCTCCCTTCTTCCTAAGTCCCCTAAGCGCATGCTAGGCATTCAGGGAAGGGTTTACCACCAAGCTCCCCAGCCTTGGACACTGGACTCTCGCACTGGCTCACCAGTCGACTTTTCAGAGGGGATTCCCATAGTGCTTGATGCAACCGGCTCCCTTTTCTTTCCTTTCCAACCCAATTCACCGCACGCGAAAGATATCTCTATCCATGCAAATGACACCACCTGAATTATCTGGTTCTTGGCCAAAAAAAAAAAAAAAAAAGGTGGGTTCTTCAGGGTAGAGTAGAAAGAGCTTTAAAATGTATTATTAATTGGGGCCAGATTATTTTTTGCAACTGTTACTAAGGAAACCTTCATTGCCATAGTAACTGCATATGTTAAACTGGAATCCTATGACTAAACTTCAATTTGGTCACATGGCCTGAGATCGAGAATCCAAGGAAGAGAAGTGTTTCAAAGCATTTCCATTTTTTTCCCCTTCCCATGTCAAAATATTGTGAAGTGTTGAGAGGCTTGAAAAAGAGAGGCACTTTTGAAATTGGGTGCGTGCCTGACAGGTGGGCAAGGGGGCAGCTCTTATCCTACACTTCGGAATTTCCGCCCACTTCTCAAGGGCAGGGAGGACTTTTCCTAAGGCCCAGGGGAGACTGGAGGCTCCACAGCTAATTAGCAAACACTCATGTGCCCTGTCACAGCACTGCCCTGGGCAGTGAGCGTCTGTGCCTCACCTCCCTCCACAGTTAGGAGAGCCCAGCCCCCTGAAGGCCTGAAGGTGTTTCCTTCTGCAAAACAAGAGCGATACCAGCAGTCTGGCTCATTAGGAGTACTGTACAGATTCAAAGCAATAAGTCCACAGAAAGAGTTTAGCATAAGTCCTGGTGTACAAAAACAGTGAATTTTTAGATATTCTCATTCCCTTTGGTTTCTGTGCCTGGTGCCAAGTCCAAAGCTCCACACTAGATGGAAACTGTCAAACCTCAGTGGCACCTGTGCCTCTGAAAGTGCTGCCACAGAGCAGCAGCATGACATCAAGTAGGAGCTTGTCACAAAGGCAGACTCGTAAGCCCGCTAAGTCAGAGTCTGCATTTTTAACAAGATGCCCCAGTGATTCAGACAGGTGTGAAAGCCTGAGAAACCCCGGACTTGGCTGTGTCAGTGTTTGGCTTTAGCGAAGCAATAAATGCAGAGGTGAAAGATGCCCAGGACTGAAACTTGGTTAATCCCCAATAGTGAATAAGTAGGAGGAAAAAAAAGAACCCAACAAGAGGCAGGAAGAAGGGCCAAGGTGGCTTGCAGCGATGCCCCATCCACGAGAGAACGCTCCAGCTCCCTCCAGGAGTTGAACAGCTCCCATCATTTGCAGGAATGGCCCTTGCTTTCTGAAGCTGGACATTTCCTTCCCAGGCTTGGGATCAGAGCATGGAGACATGTGTGATGAGCCAGGATGGGTGGTATCAAGGGGACAGACAGGAGAGAGGAGAAACAGGCAGCAAGAAACAGCAGCTGCCTTCCGGCCAGCTTCCCCACCCACTTCTGTTCTGTGTGTGCTCTCCCCACAGACGATTCACTCGTTCCACCAAAATAAAGGAGTCCCATAAACCCCACTCCACTTCTGTTCCATGATGCCTTGCTCTGAAGGTAATTTTTTTAAAGGTCTTCTCTTCTCTAGGACCAAAGGGCAAGGACTACATAACTCAGTCATTGCTAAACAAATTAACAAACGGATGATTGAATGGAAATGGGATTAATCTTTTAAAGAAGGATTATGAATGCTGACTGTGATGGGAGGCAGAGAGCCTTTCAAAAAGCTGTGACCTCGGCTACTTTGGTTCTGAGAAACGGATGAGCAGGTGTTCAACAAGTGGAGAAGGAAGTGAAAGGGCACCTGAGAAGAAGATAACCCCTCTGTGCACTGTTATCAGGGAAGGGCAAGTGCTCAGGCACGGTGAGTCAGTCAGAAGGGTGAGCTTCAGCCAGGCTGTGAGGGACCCAGAGCTGGTACTTGATCCTGATTACCTGTGGCTCCCGGGCCAAGATCCCTGTGGCACAGATCAACACAGATTAGCACGTATTATCTGGAACTTGTTAGAGCCTACTGGGTCAGAAAGAAACTCAGGATGGGGCCCAGCAACCTGTGGTCCCCCAGCCTTAGCTACAGCCAGGGAGGTCTTCCTAAATGGCAAGGGGGAACAGTCACTCCCCAGCAAAGAGCCTGCCTCAACTCACCACCCACAGCCAGGCAGTTCTCAACAGGGTGGCCAAAGCCCCCAAACATCATGAAAATCTGGAGGCCTGTCTTTGGTTGTCAAATTGATTTGGAAATATTTGATGGTCAGAAGCCAATAATAGATGTTTGGGGAAAACTACACGATAAAGCTCTGCCTTGTGTCCGATATGACTTTCAAATGACATAGGGGTGAAAAGTGTGTCCCTAAGCCTAGAACCTAACTTTGATTTTATCATAAGCACAATATTTTTTTGTTGTTGTTGTTTTTCATGGTTTCAATAAATGAGAGTTTTTTTCCTGTTTCATTCAGAATTGGTTGGGGATTCAGAAAGTTGGTCCCAGTGGGCAGTGCTGCCTGGGGCGAAGATCTGTGGTAGTGACTGTCACTGTGCATTTAAGGGCGACATTCACAGCGCCTCTGCCAGATGTAGCAGTGAGGGTTAGTGTGTCTCCTAGTGTCACTGTCCCTGAGCAGTTACATAGTGAAGCACATTGTTTCACTATGAGCTTCTTAAAAAAAATTTTTTTTTCCTTTATCCCACTATTAGGGTAATATAACAATTTCTAAAGGTTATGTGATTAGGAATGTTATATTGTCTATGAGTTTCACTCCAGGGCAGGAAAGAGAATATCACAAATTGCTGTTGAAAAGGAGTATATGATCTGCATAAGATCTAAAGTCCTAATCCCTCAGTTCAGTGTGTTCTTGTTTATTTAACATACTTTCATATAATCCCCTCTTACTTTGTGCTCAGCAGTATTTTAAGCATGTTACAAATAGAACGTATTTTCCAGTCCTATGAAATACATATTATTATCCTCTTACAGAGACATTTGCCCAAGGTCACACAGCC